ACTTATTATACAATAAATTGAAGACTAACTAAGAATTAAGTTCTGGCTTAATTTTTTGGATTTATATGCTTATTTGTATTATATGGAATATATTGAAATTAAGGATAGACTTTTTCCAAGGCCTGCTAAGCTGATCAAGTTAACTTAAAATATAAAAAACTTGAAATATGAAGTTCAGATATTTAAACTGAACTTTATAATCATTATAAATATATTAAATATGTACATCAGTAGCCCTAGATCTTCTACCCCTTGAATTACTCCTATATAAAGTGAATTATTTTAATTCTTCCATATTCTTCACTTTCTTCTAGATATTCTGGCCTTTGAGCTACTCTCACAATTATTTTAAATCTTCCATTCTTTTCTCTTTTGTCTTCTTAATTCCTCTCTAATTTTGGTCTTTTCCACTGCTCTTCATTTCATATTATATTCGTGAAGCGGCATATGTTAATCATCAAGTTCAAAATCTGACACTGAAAATCTGATTTTGCTTTTAATCAAGAATATAATGAAGTAACCTCATCTATCTTTCTAGCTCTACTTTTTTATACTTAACATAATTTTCTTAAATAATCTTTAATGACTTCAAAATGCTTGAAGTTTCTTGCATCTTTATTGATTTTTGTGGGATTTGCATGGCTCTTCCAGTTTTGTTTTTCCGCTGATTTTACTCCATTTTCGTTTTTTTTTTTTTTGGTAATTTTTATTTCTGTTAGACCAACAAATTTTATGATAGTTGCAACACAATTTGCCAAGTTATTTCAATTAAAATGGGGCCACAGCCAACACAGAGAGGGGTGTTAACCAGCAGAAGTGGAGCGGGTGCGGGTAGCTGCTGCTGGGCGTGGCAGCTGAGCAAGTGTAGTAAAATGTTCATAAAATTTTTCATAAGTTTTCGTTCCGGTTGCGCTTGAGAATGTTGTAAATATTTTTGCAGCATGGCTCTCTATGTGGTCATTGTAGTAGCACAATATTCCAGCAAACACACACACTTACACATATATATACACAAGTATATATATATATATATCATATGGCAAGAGAATTTCTTGCTGCCATTTTCGTTGCCTCGCTCGCATTTTGCTTTGGCATAAGCATAATTATTTGTAATGCGGTCTGCAAATATTTTCCAGAAAACAGAGGAATCCCAACAATAGATCTAGTGCTCAACTAACCCTAACCCCAAACCGAACCCATATATGCCACCATCCAGTGCGAGGCAACCCTCGATTTGGCAATTCCACAAGAATTTGTTTGGTTGCAAATATTTTTAGTTTTTCTCTAGGTTATTTAACTTGAAATTGATTTCAATTTAAGTATTTTGCTAAAGGCCTTGAAACTTAAGACGATTTCTATGAATTAATGAAATCACATTGAAACTGAATCCGCTAATTTCTCACTTATATATAAAATGATTATAGCTCTTAAGACTGCTGAAATGCGCTGTGAGCACAAAACTGAAGAAGAAACTTTTGGTTGAGTCTAATACGAATCATGTGATTTATAATCGATTCGGGATGTGTTTATTCTAAAAAATAATTGTGTATTTTCACTATACAGAATTATTATGGAAAAATCTTAAAAAGCTTGCATATAAATACATGCATATGATGTGTGAAGACATGATGTATAGAAATATTTCAGTGCGCCTTAAATTATGCAACAAAATTTATGTCACTGGAATGAAAAAAGAATTTGCATATTAGTAGAGCTAATTTACAGACATGTATATATCTAAAAATATATATCATAAATATAGACCACAATTTTATTT